GTTAAGAGATTTGCCTCTGAATGGTTAAGTATTTTACAGAGTCTGAATGGTTAAGAGCTCTTATCTGAATTGATCAGACATTTGCCTCTGAATAGTTAAACAATATACTAGCTCTTAATGGTTCAGACCTCTTACTGGTTTAGCACTTAATGGTTCAGACCTCTTACTGGTTCAGCACTTACCCATTCAGAAGATACCAAACAGCCCCTTACCCAAATGTGTTAATCAATTATTCCATAGTTCTGAATCCTGAGTGAATCTGTTCCTGTTTATCTATCCTAAGTTTGGGTACAACATTGGTGGACTAACATCGCCTCTAGAAGAAAACTTGAGGGAAAAGCTAAAGTGCAAATTTGAGAAAAGATGCGAAAGCTTTTAACCAAGAAGTTCTTGCCCAGAGATTACAAATTCAAGGTACCTATGAACATTTACTCCTTCCCATCCAAAACCCCTTCCAAAACCACACCACTACCCCCACAACAAACTTCCCTCATTTACCCCAACACCATCTCAACACCCCTGCCCCAAAACCTTTCCAAAATCATGTCTTCACCACCACCACTGATCACCTTAACCACTGCCCAAAGCACTCCACAAGCTATCCCCAACCCGTGGCCCAAAACCCGCATAAAACAACCATCTTACACCCTCCTAATATTTCCCAAGAAACTAAAATAGCTGCTTCCATCATCACAACCCACACCTCCTCCAAAAACCACCCATCAACCCATCAACATATTACCCAAGAAACCCTTAAACATGTTCCTTTCCAAGAACCTACCAAAACTGTATCCTCCACTCCACTTTCTACTATCCAAGAACTACCTACAATCAAGCCTACGAGCCCTTGTTGTTACCATTGTCTAAAGGTTTGAAATTATGCTATCATGTGTCCAAATAAGAGAAAGGTGATCTTCATTCAAGATGTAGAGGAACAAGGAGCATTGGAGCAAATACAGGTTCATGAAGGTAAGAAATCAGAAGCTGTGGAGCAAAAAAATCTCATGAATGAACCGTTGAGAATCTTGGAAGAAGAAGAAGAAGAAGAAAAGCTCAAGGTTAGGCCCATGAATGTGTCCCCTATTCTTCTAGGCAGACCATTGTTGATAGATTGGAAAGTACTCTATGTTGGTTTCACTAACACATATTCATTCTTTATGGATAGAAGAAAAGTCACCTTTACTCCTCCAATTCCTCTGAATCCTCATACCTTTATCCCAGCCACTGCCCTACTCTCCATCATTATCAAAGGCAAACCATCACCACACCAAAGGACCAGAGAAATGATACTTATTCCATCCAATGATACACAACCAAACGTCCATCCCTTGGTTCAATCTCACTTTGCCCCTTTTCCTCTCAAAAACGATCCGGCCAGAAGTAACTGTGGAGCCTTGTTATCACTAACGGCCCTTGGTGCCTATTTTGCTTTGTTTAAGTTGCAGGGAATTCATGAAGGAATACAAGGAACAAAGAACACTTATCCTAAGTGCTCCAAGCTGCATTCACAGGCCCCCTTTTCACAAGCACCGAGCCATAGCTTCATTGAAGATGAGGAAGTAAGCAAGTTCAATTCCAGCCCCTATGAAGAGCCTAAAGAAAACTTGAGTTTTTTGGGCAAACTCTTTCGAACAAGGGGAGGATGTTATATTCGGGCATGCCCTACCCAAACTCATGGACGTGCCAAAAGTGTTCAAACAAATCAAGGGATTAAGGGTTAAGTGTTATAATCCTTATTGGGTTGATTTAAGTCATTTCTTCCATTCAAGAACACCAACCAACACCCTTGTTGTTTTCACACCCCCCTTGGCAGCCCCAACCATGTCCAAATCCACCCTAAACATCCAAAATTCCTTGCCACTTAATTCCTTTCCAAGTAAAGTTTTCCCTACTCTTCTTATTTTAGCCCATGGCCAAAAATAAGGGTGTGTAAAATAAACCTTTTGTTTGTTGTTATTTTCCTTTTTTTAAGCCTTTTATTAAACAAATAAAACCCTCCCTCTATTCCATTCACCCCCTGGCCAAAATACACTTCACAATCCCAACATAAACACCCATAAAGAGCCAAAACCATGACCAACCTCCAGCCCCTACTTCCTGCCCATGTTTCCCTCACAATAACCCAAAGCCATAACTCCAAAACACCCATAAATATTACCCAGCCCTGTCCCCTTTTATTGGCCACAAACAACCCCTCATTTTTACCCAAGTAATAGCCTTAAAACACAGGAAAAAACCACTATAAACCAAAGCTCAAAACCCCCACAACACCAGCCCCATCCCTGAATTTTATCCCACTAAGGAGACAAGATTGAATGGAGAATGCCCCATGCTTTTGAAGTGGATGTTGCTAAGAAGTTTCCTCAAATTCACATTCAATGTATAGTGTATCTTTTCCCCCTTCCCCTGCCTATATAATCAGGCCATATGGCCATTGTAACACACATGTTTGAATATTGGAAAACCTTTTACTCTTTGAGTATTCATAAAATAGTGTGATGCTATTTTAGCCAAATTCCTAATTCTATATCTTAAGAAGTGGTTATCTTAAGTGTGAGTTTTAGGTTCTAGATATTTGATTATGTGTGTCTTATCTTAATTAAATTCTAGATTCAAACCCCAAGTTAGGATAAGAGTGTGTAATATCTCTTAAACACCAACTTGGTTTATCCATCCCTGATTTTCTTCCATTTCATACCTCCACATTTCTCCTCTTAATCTTACTCTTTTCTTCCATTAAAATACCCAAAAGAACTCCATCATCCCCATACTTTTCCAGTCATTCCCCCACACAAAACATCCCCCTTCCTGCCTAGAATTCTGCCAAATAATCGATTAACCTTAGTGATAATCGATTATCAGTCACCATTGAAACACATGCATCCTTCAACAATCGATTGTCCCCTTTTGCCAATCGATTTTCCGTACTCATTTGAAACATCCGATGGGATCAATAATCGATTAACCTTTTCAGATAATCGACTATCACTCTTCCCCAGAAATTTGTAGCCCTCTATAATCGATTATCACCATACCGATAATCGACTGTCAATCCCTTCCTTAATCCACACGCCGAGTTTGCCTATAACCGAACCCCAAACAAGACCACGGGGCTATCCCCGTTCATGGTGGTCTATGGTTCGAACCCCCTCACCCCACTTGAGCTTGATCCCATCGTAGGAAAAGAGCAATACAGTTGGGCAGCTGATCAACGGTCCAAGGAAATTCAAGAACTCCATGAAAAGGTTCGAGAGAAGATTGAAGCGGTAAATGAGAAAGTTAGTAACAGGATCAACAAAGGAAGAAAATTCACAAGTTTTCAGCCCGGTGACTTGGTTTGGATTCACCTAAGGAAAGAGCGTTTTCCCGCCAAACGTAAGTCCAAGTTACTACCAAGAGCCGACGGCCCATTCGAGATTTTAGAGAAGATCAACGACAACGCCTACAAAGTCAATTTGCCTGGAGATTACGGAGTTTCTGCTACATTCAATGTTAAGGATCTCAGTCCATATTTTGACCCTGAAGAACTTCCAAGTTTGAGGACAAACTTTTCTGAAGACGGGGAGGATGATATATCCCAGAGCACCACAAATCACCCTCAAGTCCTTAAGGAAATCAGTGGAATAATGTCCAAGTGTTATGACCCCC